GTCCAAAAAGCCCTCCATCATTTGAGCTCTTCATTAATTGCCAACGCCTATGTTAAGAGTTTCACATACTTGTTATCCCAAACTTCAAACACCCTAAAAAGGAAGTGTTATCATCTCCAAAATACAGATGAGGAGAGGCTCAGAGAGGGAGGCTCACTTTTCTGTAGTCTTCATGACTGTCAGTCTCCAGAGTCATAGAGTGCTGTTCCCTGTATGGCATTATCTGAGACATGAACAACAGAGCCTACTGAGCCCAAACTGAGTGCTCTTCTCCATTGCCTCCCCCAAAAGGAAGATAGAGACTTTTGGGGGAAACGCAGTTCATGTGGAACTCCTGATATCAGCAAGCATCTGAGTAACTCCCCCTGTGCTCCCTTGGATCACCTGCCAACATTCACCCTGAGTCCAAATCTCCAGCTTTGGAAATGCACCACTAGTGGTGTGCTGGTAAAGGTTTAACAGCCACCTCTTGAGTGGGAAAAGTCCTGATTTGTAGAGATTTTGTGGTGCAAATACATTCACCATGGCCAGTCTCAAGCAACCAACAAACCTGATGTCACTGAACATGAAATTGGGAAGAGACATACAGAACCACACCATCATATAGTATTTCCACCATACAGATACAAATAGGGGTAAATAACCTCAAGAACACAGGTAATGGCAAAATGATTAAGAAGTGATGAGCTTTGAGTATTTATGACCTTCTTTTACAAATATAATGAATTCCATTTTAAGTTTAGATGATTTAATCAGCAACGATTGTGTTTCAAAATCAGCTCACATGATTCCTAAATGTTTAATAGTCAGCTCTTGAAACAGCTCCACCACACCACTGCCCGTCACCTACAAGTTCCACATCAAGCTCTGCTGAGATACCTGCCCAGGGTGGAAGGGAATTTCTGGAGCGCAATGCCTAGGACTAGGATTCAGCATTTACATGCCGATGTGGTTGTACGAGTTGTTAAGGGCATCTTTTACAGAGGTTGGTAAATAGCTAACTCAGACACTTCCTCAGGACCAACTTTCACAAATATCCCATTCAGCAACTAATGTGTCCTCCAGGACCCTCCTTCATCTCCAGCCACTGTCTGTTTCTGCTGCATCACTTGTTAAGTAATTTTATTATCACCACTGGCAATATCCAATTCCATACATACATCCTCCCTCCAAGGAATTTTGCAATACCTCATAACTGATAGTCTACACTCTGTGCTGGCATTGGGCCATATTATGCATTTCGTCCCTTTTGAGAAACTCTGAACTAAAAATTTTTCTAAGCTCTCTTCAAGTGCTGAGAACCCAAGCTAGAGCCTGGGAGTGAGAGGAGATATGGAGAAGTTGGAAGACTCCCTGGTGGGAACACGAGATTATGGCATTAAATGACTTTGGCACACAGAAACTCTGGAGAATAACAGATTGTTGTTGTTTTAAGCCACTAAGTGTTGAGGTGTTTTGTTATATAGTATGAGATATCTAATACACAGGTATTTTCTAGTCATAATAGAGGATAGCCAATTTTCTTAAAGGGAGAGATATCAAGCTTCCATTTTACATAAATAAGTTTAAGTTCTTAAAAAGGAGAGTCAATTTAAAGAAACACTAAATAAATATATGGGTGGTACTCAAATATGGCAAAAATACAGTAACGAAATGTTTGTAGCTGGACGAACACTTCCCTGATTCAATGATTTTCAAGCATTCTTTACCTATAGCAGCTGCAATTCGTAGGATATAGGTTAACGACTATAACAAAGACGCAAGACAACAGTTTAAAGGAGGTGAAACAAGATGAAAGTTTAATTTTCTTCCACTTAATGGCTCCATGTAAGCAATCCAGGACTGGCCAGGTACTTCAATGGTGTCAAAGACCTAGACTCCTTCCATATTGTTGCTATTCCTTCCTTAGTGTGCAGTCCTCCCCATCTCTACATCCCACTCCAATCAGTAGGAAAAGGAAAATATTCAGGAGGAAAACTCGTCCCCTGTCTTTAAGAGGAAGTTGCGTGCACCAATTCTGCTCAAATCTCATTGGTGAGAACTTGGGCACATGGCCACCCTCAGTTACAAGGGAGCCTGGGAAATGTAGTTTTTATTTTGGATAGCCATGTGGCTGAATAGAATTCTACCACTATGGAAGAAGGGAGAACAGATATTGGGGGACATCTGGGTGCTTCTGAAATATAAACTTTTTCTCAAATATGGTCAGGTATGGATTGATGTATCAAACGAGATGGCAATGAGAACTATACTACCAAGCGCTTCAACACATCTGGATGCCTTTTCTCCTGACAGGTAAGGTATTGCCTAATGGTGCATACCATTTAAGGGAGTCACACGGAATCCCCCAAAGTTCATCCAGCAGCCCCAGGTTATAAGAAGACTTGCTTTACAGTAACAAGTCATCTCTGACCATGTGCCCTGCCTGGTAAGCTGGTTGTTTGGATTAGAAGATACCCTGCTTGTCAAGCACACAACTCAATGCCTGACACAAAGATGACACTTCATAAAGAAAGAAAGACATTCCTGGCAGAATCACAGCATGTCTTAGTCCCAGACAGAGGGACATGTGACTAGGCATAAAATGATCCAGGTTCCATTTCACACACACCTCCTATGGAACCTAAATCACCCTCTCTCCATCTCACTTTGCCCTGGGTTTGTCTCTTCTCTGTCTCTCTCTTTCTTTGCTTTCATCTCCCTGGCCATCTCCATTTCTGACTTTTTGTCCATTTGGGTTGCTGCTGATACTGACCCTGATATCAGTTTCCCCACATTAAACCCAGTATATATGGGGTTAAAACCAAAACACTCATTCCCTGCTTACTCTCTGGCTTCCTGGCTCCAGAATCCACTATCCTCCATGGAGACAGACACCACCAAGGACAAGCACCTGGATTCATTATCTCCTCCCCACGAAGAGATACAGGCTGGTGAGAAAGCTGCTGACCAGCAAGGCCACAGGCTTCCTCCTCTCTGCAAGTAGTCTCAAGGCCAAAGACAGGCTGGTGGGAAAGCTCCAACCAGCAAGGCCATATGCTCCCCCTCCACTACCTAAAACCCTAAATAAAAACCCTTCCTTTTAGCTTTTTGGGGAGTTTGGGAATTCAGAAGTAGCTACCCTCTCTCCTTGCTCAGCTCTGTGCAAAAATAAAATTCCTACTTTCTTCCACTATGCCCAGTGTCAGAGATTGGCTTGCTGCACATCACGTAAGTGAACTCACTTCAGGTCTGGTAACACTGCCTCAGAGTCAATGGTTTTTCAGTTGAGAGAGAGAGGGCTGTGTGGGTTCCTCTTATTTCTTCTTCTTTGGCCATATGTCTCTTTCTCAGTCTCTAGCTCTGTTTCACTGAAACTATTTTTCTGTTTTATTTCCTTCTGATGGTATCTCCCTCTCTCTGTTTCTTAATTTCCTTTCGTCTCTGTGTCTTCGTTGGTATCTAACTTTGGCTCAATCTCTGTCTCTCTCTCTTTTTCTCTCTCTGCTCTATTTTGATCTCATTCTGGTTTTGTTTCTCTGCACTTCTCTTTTCTCTTTGTTTCTCTCCTTCTTGATCTCTATCTCCATCACACAATATCTGGCATAATCTGCCTCTCTTTGTGTTTCTCTGTCTTGGGTTCTCGCAATTATTTTTCCTTTTTAACTTACTTCCATCTTTTAGTTCAAGTGCCTCCACTTCTAGCTTCTTGCCTAGAGTGGGATGGTGAGAAGGACTGTACTAAGGATGCCTTCTCTCTCCTTTTCTGTCTGAATGGGAAAACAAAACTCACAACCATCACCATCACAGATAACTAAGAGATTAGCCCTGAATGAGTGTCTAGGGGGGTGGGTCAGAATGGAAGGGAGAGGCGAAGCTGGGATAGTTGAAGGAAGCGCCCCAGAGCTGACTTTTACCCCATGAAAGACATCCTAGCAACAGATCCAAGATCCAAGATCCAGAAGGTGGTGCTGTGTAAGTCTTTCAGTTTTCCAAGAATTGTTACTGCTTTTGGACATAGGACACCTCAGCCCAGCCAGCTAAGCCTTTTTCTAAAAGCTGCTGGTTTCCCAAGAGATTCAATTGCTAACTCTGAGAATCTGGACACGTGAGAATGGCATTGGATTTTTTTTCATAATATGTATAAGTAGATTATAACACCTGGGAATTTTGTTTCCGGAAAGTAAATAAGATTTACAAATATTTGGTACAAAAAGAGTTGAAAACTATTTATTTAGATGATTACAGGGACTAATCACTAGGCTGTGTTTAGAGATGGTCTCTCCCTCTAGAAATTAGGGCTCAAGGGTAGTCTCTACTTCGTGGACTTTGAAAACAAAAGTGCATACATACACACACACACACACACACACACAGAGTTTTGTTAAACCAATAAAAGTAATCTTTGATTATTACTACTTAATACCACCTTGAGCATAAACAAGGGAACTTGTTAAATAAAACTCTTTTGATTAAGTTATTTCTCTTGCTATTCTAAATCTTCATCTTACTGTTTTATTTTTAAAAGTGATTATTTATGATCTGGCAAAGATAATGGAGTCATTCCTGTTCTCTAGCAAGACTTTCTGAAACTTTATGATTATCCCATTTGGCTGATGGGGAGATTGAGGCCAAGAAGGTTAAGTGACTCTCCCAATGAAGAAAAAATGGAGCTGGAATTTGAATCCGGATTGTCTGATTCCTAGACTCCATAGCCTAAAAATGATGTTCAACTGACACACCACCAAGACAAGTTGAACTAGAGGTTGAACTGAGGGTGAATAACTAAGGGGATTGGAAATATGAAGAAGTGGGAAAGGCCTCAGTAGATTTTCCTAAATTAATTCAACCCACCTTTACTCAGGTGCAAGATTAGGGGATATATGATCACCCCCCCAGATAAAGTAATCTCTTCCCTGATAGCATCTATACCCGCAAAACTTCAATCCTAGGGTGTTCAGGTTTCCACACAGCTGATTTCCCCGAACATATTTAGGCAGGATTTGGGGCTCTGGACACAGCCCCTCGACCTGGCATCATGGAGCTGGGAAGAGCCTTCACCATCTTTCTGGCACTATGCTTGTCTTGCCTGCTCCTCCTCATCGCCTGGAAACGGATCAACAAGGGAGGGAAGCTACCCCCAGGTCCCACACCGATACCTTTCCTGGGGAACCTGTTGCAAGTCCGTACTGATTCCACCTTTCAGTCTTTCATGAAGGTGAGTCTTCCCTCCTTCTCTGATAGACCTGTAGTAACTAATCCTATAGACAGATACATGTAAAACCTTCTGACTTCTAAAACACGGACTCTTAGAAAACTGATTTTATGAACCTTAGAATTCTGAAATTCCAGAATCTTAAACTCTTGGAAACACAGACTCCTAGCACATTGGAACTTAAGACTCTCACAATCTCAGGACTTTGGAATGAGAGTAACTTCTATCCTTAAACACAAGAACACTTGCAGTCAGATTGTCTTAGAACTTTGAGACTCAGAATCATGAAATCATAGGATTGTAGAAATTTAGCATTTCAGAGAGAGAAGCACAGATCTTGGAGTTCATCTCATCCAGGTCCATCATTTTACAGATTAGCAAAGTAAGGCTTGTGGAGGTTTGGGGCATCTTGCCCAGGATCACAAAATCTCTGTGCCTTTTTCTTAATAGCTTTTCGAACACTATGACTCACCTTTATGTTTTTCCCACATTTATATCTCCTTGAGATCTTCACTTCCTAAAAATTCATGATTGGTCTGTACTTGGTCCTCCAATAATCCCCCTCTTCTTGTGTCTTCCCTCACTCCCAGCTCAGGGAGAAATATGGCCCAGTCTTCACCGTGTACATGGGTCCCCGGCCAGTAGTTGTTTTATGTGGACATGAAGCAGTGAAGGAGGCTCTGGTAGACCAAGCAGACAATTTCAGTGGCCGTGGAGAATTGGCTACAATAGAGAGAAACTTCCAAGGTCATGGTAGGTAACAAAAATAATAAAAACAAATGATTATAATGCACTTCCTATGTCCCAGCTTCTTTGATAAGTACGCTAAAAGAATTATTGCATTGCATTCTCTGAGAACACTATTAATATTATAATAATTTTGAAAGTGAGGAAGCTGAAGGAGAGAAAAGTTGGGTAATATCACACAGTAAGTGGTAGAACCATTTGATTTTGAACCCAAACCATCTGACTCGAGAGTGCCTGCTGCAATACACGTGTTCTAATTTTTAATGGATCAAGTACCATCTTCGTGTACCAACTGAAACTCTTGTGGCCAACCTTGCTTCTTATTTCCTACACATACACACACACAACCCATAGGTCTCTGCCTCCTCTATTTAGGTAGATACCTTTCTAGTGTTGCCCATACATCTACCTCTAATTGGCCACACAACTTCAATTCCAGGCAGCCTCACACCATTCCTTCCATATTTCCATCCATCCATCTATCCCTATACCTTTTCTTCTGCTCATCTTCTTTTCCATTGATGCATACATCCACCACAAACTCCATTCACTAATTAGTCTTTCTATACAAATGTTTTCCCATCCAACTTATCTATACATTTATCAATTAACTTTCCATATACCCGTCTATCCGTCCTTCCATCCATCCAATCATTAACCCTTCCATCATTCATCTGTCTGTTAATCTTTCCATCCATCCTTCCTTCCAACCGTTTATAAATCCATCTCAAACCATCTATTAACCCTTCCCCCATCAATTAAAGTCATCCATCCATTTGTCAGTCATTCCAGTCATAAACCCTCCCTTCCATTCTTGAATCCACCCAAATTCATTTCATTAAATTTCCAGGCATTAACTCACCAATCCATGTAAATTTGGTAATTTCTAAATATTTTTTACTACATGGAAACTCCTTTTGTGTATGCATATTGATGTATAGGTGTGAGCTTCTGTGTAGATGTAAGTGTATGTCTACAGAATCCAAGTATTATATAGAAAATTGAACTAATCTCCCTATTCCAGAGTACCGTACATGGAATTCTATCTATTCCAATGCGTCCATCCAGTCTTATCAGTGCAGGTCTCGTTCCTGTAAGAAACTCTCCTTGATCTCCCCTGATCACTTCTAGACTGATTCCCTTTCTTCCACCTCAGCCAGGACTGTTTTTGAGGGTCCTGTAGGAAGGGAACCTTAGTCTCCCCATCAAACCTGGAAGGTTGGGAGGGGCTTTCCTGATTGCAGAGTCTAGGGCTTTCATAATATATCCTCATCCTTGTCCAGCACAGAGTTGGGCACAGGAAGGGGAGGGGGGCAGGATCCTGACTCTGATATTTTGGCAGGTCTAGCTATGGCTAATGGAGAACGATGGAGGATTCTGCGACGCTTCTCCCTGACCATCCTTCGGGACTTTGGGATGGGAAAGCGGAACATTGAGGAACGGATCCAGGAGGAGGCTGGCTTCCTACTGAAGGAATTACTGAAGACCAAGGGTATGTGAGTGTCCCAATGGGGAGGGCTACAAGGTGACTCAGTGGTTGTAAAGAGTTCACTCAGGAGAAGATGGGCCTTGGTGGGAGAAAACTCTGGAATGGAAGAGGATGAAAAAGATGAAGGATTTACTGAGATTTCCAGCCAGGTTCCAACTAAAAAGTTAGCATGAAGGACCCTTGGAGACCACTTGTCCAGAAACTTCAATCAGTGGATCTCAGGGAGTTTGTGAGCTCCTGATATCATATGCAGACTTTGGCAATATGAGAGTTTGTGACTTTTTCTGGTGATACAATCAAATTTTATTACACACACACACATACACATATTGTGGTAAAAACCACATAACATAAAATTTTACCATGTTAACCATTTCAGTAGTGTTAAGTATATTCACATTGTTGTAAAAAGATGAAATTTTTCATTTAGCAAATCTGAAACTCTATATCCACTTCATTATATTTTTAAAGGAATCCAGGCCCTGCCCAAAAATAAAGTCTGGATCCACTGCGGCCAAAAGATTAAAAAGACAGAGAGGCTGAAAAATACAGAGATGAATGGATAGATAGAAATAAAGATAAATTTCTCTAAATCAGAGATTCCTCACTTGGGCTTCATGCGTGCTAAACAATCTACATAAGGGCTTTGTCCATGCACCCCCATAAATTATTTGCAACTTTGTATATTTATGAATATATGCATTATTCTGGAGAAATTGTCACCAAATCAAGTGACTTGACCAGCATCCTGTTTTGCAGATGGTGCAGCTTAGGCCATGGGAAGGAGTTTCTTACCAGCCCAAATGGAATCATTGGTAGAAACAGACAGAATCCAGCTGTCCTTGTTTTTATGTGTCCCTTACCACTACTTCTTTCCAAAATCTGTGGCTCTCCAGCACAAATACAAATAGATACTAATAACAAAAGCTACTGATTGAGCTCCACCAGCGTTTCTTGAGTGCTTACTACATGCCATGCACTGTGCTGAGCATTTTACATGGATAATGATATTGAATCCCCATGAACCTGTAAAATGGATACTAAACCAACTCGTAGATTGGGGAATCTAGATTCAAAATACAAAAATGAAGTAACTCACATGTTATTAAGCAGTCAAGTCATCACTGATATCCACAACTGAATGATTCCCCATCCCATGCACCTAATCATTGCCTCCAACGTAAACAATTTCTATCACCCAGGTGCCCCCATCGACCCCACTTTCTTCCTGAGCCGTACTGTCTCCAATGTCATCAGTGCCATCGTTTTTGGAAGCCGCTTCGACTATGAGGACAAGCAGTTCCAGAAGCTGATGCAGATGATCAATGAGAGTTTCACTGAGATGAGCACACCTTGGGCACAGGTGCCCACCAGTCACTTCTCTACCCACTCCCAACCTCAGTTAATTAAGCACCCACCTGTACCTCACTTAATCCTCCCCACATCCCTGGGAGGCAAGTATCAATATATCCTGAGTGTCCAAGAAACAAATGGCCTCAACCAATTCTAAGACCCAGTGCTGGATAGACTCTAGCTATCTGACTCCAGGCTCAGCCCATGCTGGCCCCTGGTGCCCATCTCTGACTGACCCCTTTGCGTATTCCCCACAGCTATATGACATGTATTCAGGAATTATGCAATATTTGCCAGGAAGACACAATCACATCTACTACTTGATAGAAGAGCTCAAGGACTTCATTGCCTCTAGAGTCAAGATTAACGAAGCATCCCTTGACCCCCAAAACCCTCGGGACTTCATTGATTGCTTCCTCATCAAGATGCACCAGGTACCTCTTCCTCTTCCACCAACACTTTTCTCTTATCTCCTCAATCTTTAGTGCCTACAACTTTAACCTCATCTGTAAATATGTTGGAGATAAAAGTGCAAGCATTGTTTCACATGGTTCGCTTTTATTTATAGATGAGATATGAACACCCTAAAGGCACCAACTCTTATACTTTTAAAATAAACTTTCAATGTAAACATTTGAGGAACATGGAAACAAAATCTTACACCTTTCTAATCATAGATGCCAGAGACTTACAACTGTAGAAAAGGACAGTGAATCTTTAGAGTCTTCGAGTTTGGGAAGCTTAGACATTTAGTCTTTAAACTTAAGAGTTGAGACTAAACTTAAAAGTTTATAGTCTTAGAGATACATAAATTTAGAAGCTTAATACTTCTGTATCATAGAATTTTAGAAGTTTTATGCATTTGTTATCATAAGACCTCAACAGTTGGAAGATAAAAACTGCATACCCTAATATCCTGGAACTTTCAAATCTGACAAGACAATCTCTTTCTACTCTTTTCTCCCCATAGTTCATTCCTCTCCAACCAGGCTGGTCTCCTCCTTGCTGTTTCTCTAATACACCAGGCACACTCCTGCCTCAGGACCTTCACTCTGGCTGTTTCCTCTCCCAGATACTCTCTTGGTTTATCCATCGATTGTGTTTTCACAAAGGCTTAACCTATACACAGGGAGAAAATAAGAAGATAAAGACAGAAGAGGATGATTCTGTTTACTATCCCTCTCATTTCCAGGATAAAAGTAATCCCCACACGGAATTCAACCTCAAGAACTTGGTCCTCACCACTCTCAACCTCTTCTTTGCTGGCACAGAGACTGTGAGCTCTACATTACGCTATGGATTGCTACTGATGATGAAGTACCCTGAGGTGGAAGGTGAGTGTCCACCTGGTAACTTTCACTCTCAGCAGGAAAGAAGACATAATCTTGAAACCTCAGAACCCCATGGCCTTAGACTCTTCACACTTTAGACCCTAAGGATATGGAAGCTTGGAATCTCTGGCTTGAGAGGCGATTTTATTTAATTATCTTCTTGGTACTTGTATTAGTTTCTTATGCCTGCTGTAATAAATTACCAGAAACTTAGTAGCTTAAAACAACATAAATCTATTACCTTATAATTCTGGAGTTTTGAAGTTCAAATAGGCTTTCACTGGGTCAAACCATGGTGGAATCTGATTCCTTTCCTTTCCCAGCCTCTAGAACTGTATTCCTTCAATTCCCGGGCTCATGATGTTGCTTCCACTTCAAAACCAGCAACATAGCATTTTCAAATCTCTCTTTGTTTCCATTGTCACATCTCCTTCTCTGACTCTGACCCTCCTGCCTCCCTCTTATACAGGGCCTTGTGATTATATTTACAGCCAACATGGATTATCCAGGATAATCTCCCCATCTCAAAGTCCTTAACTTAATGATTTCTGCAAAATATCTTTTGTCATGTAAGGTAACATTCACAGGTCCCAGGGATTAGGAGGCAGATATCTTTGATGGCCATTATTTAGCCAATTATAGTGCCAGAATCAAATAGAATCCGTCAAATAGAATCTATCTCCAATAAATTCCAATCTGGTCTGGTTGAGTAACTCCAGTAATGAGTAGCTCATTATTTGCTTAAGGAGAATCCCCAATTTTGGTCCCTCTCCCTTCTAATGCAGTTCAAAGTGAGCCAAAGAATTTCTCCTGTTACAAAGGACGGAAGAGTTGTCCTCTACTAATCTAAATCATCAAATATTTAATGAACCTCTTCTATGTGCTAGGCACTGTCCTAGTCACTTGCATACTGGATTTTATGTAAATTTCCCAACTCTATGAGCTTGTTAGACCATCACATCTGTTTTGAAGATGAAGTAACAGGCTCAGAAGATAAAGTCATTTGCCCCAAGGTCACTCAACCGGAAGTCGAGAGAGGGGTAATTGTACCAATAGTGCTGTTAATCACTGTCACATAATTGCTGTCATTTGCTCCATTCCTGTCCTCATCAACTGTTGTGTCTCTTTTCCATCCTGTCAAAAATCTGTGTATGAAAGCCAAGCTGGCATTTGGACACTGCCCTGCTCATCAGTCTTCCATAATTCCTCACTGCTTTCTGCTCAACAATGCTTGACCTAAGTGTTAATATTATTCCCATTTTTCTTGGTGAGGAAACAGAAATAAACTGCCAATGGTGGTGAGAGTCGGTGAGAAACAGAGCCTTGGACTGAATTCAGGTCTTGTCTGCCTCTAAAGTTTGTGACCACTGGCTCTGTTTGAATGAATTAAAGTTGAGGTCCTAAGTTGCAAAAAAATAAAATAAAATAAAGTAAAGATCAGTGTCCCAGCTGGCATTCAAAGCTCCAGGCTATGTGCCTCCCAGTGGTCTGGTGAGTATTTATTAGCCACACCACTGTGTCAGGTATACGAGTAAAGAGGCACTCCATACAAATATGGCCTACTCCCTCAGGGTACACAGGTGCTGAAGATACAAACTCATGGCTCAACCTTGGCCTTAAGAATTACCTTCTGTGTCCTTGTCTGTTATGTTTTCTCGTCTCTTCCAGCCAAGATCCATGAAGAGATTGAGCAGGTGATAGGATCACACCGGATCCCAAGTGTGGATGACCGGGTGAAGATGCCCTACACAGATGCCGTGATCCATGAGATACAGAGACTGACAGATATTGTGCCCATGGGTGTCCCCCATAATGTCATCCGGGACACTCATTTCCGAGGCTACTTTCTGCCCAAGGTGAAGTTGCACCTTCAGTGTCACTCTACCTCTTCTCCTTACACTGTACCCCTCTCTCCTCCTGGTTCCCTATGTCATACTCAAACACTGATTTCTCCTAACTGCCTCTATCTTCACCTCAGGGTACTGATGTGTTTCCCCTGCTTGGCTCGGTCCTCAAAGACCCCAAATACTTCCGCTACCCAGATGCTTTCTATCCTCAACACTTCCTGGATGACCAGGGTCACTTCAAGAAGAATGAAGCCTTTGTGCCTTTTTCCTCTGGTAGGTTTCTACAGTCTGAGTTCCCCCAAGAACATGCTGGATATGCCCTCCAACCATTGGTCTGTATTTGACCTTCGGATCTGAATAGGAAGTTGAATGCTATTTCATAGAATCATAAAATCTTAGAATCCCAGAATCATAGATTAGAACCATTGACTCTGATAACTACAAAAATAATAGCACTAAACATAGGTCAGAAAACTTTTTCTCTAAAGGACTAAATAGTAAATGTTTTAGGTTTTGCCAACCATACAGTCTCTGCCTCAACTATGCAGTCTGAACTACTCACCTCCACCATGGTAACACAAAAGAGATACAGACAATACGTAACTGAATGAGCAGGACTGTGATGCCAAAATATTTTATTTATAGACACCCAAATTTGAATTTTATTAATTTTCATGTGTCAAAAAATATTACTTTCTTTTGATTTTTTCCAACCATTTAAAAATGCTAAAAGAGTCTTAGTTTGCAGGCAGTACAAAAACAGACAGCATGGAGAATTTGTCCAATGAACAGTAGCTTGCTGATCCATGACATTTATCTTAGAATAATGGTATTTTAGGTGTAAGCCCCATTGAACCTGGAGTCAATGCAGTATTTAGGAAACAGGAAGCCACTTCGTCACTTACAAATAGTGGTCCCTGTCTATAAAAATGGAAGTTAATCTCTCCAAACTACTGGAAGGGTGACTCAATTATGTGCACTAAGTGTGAGCTTTCTTTCTTTCTTGTTTTTTGTTTTTCTTTTGCCTCAGCAGTATCTGGCAACAATTAGGCGTTTTGTAAACATTTAAGAAGTTGAAATGAACAGTACCTTCAACTTCATGATCCTTTAGAACCATTCCATCTTGGAATCTGATGGAATCCAAGCCATCAGAGAAATAGTTGCCATGTGTTGACCCCTTTAAGTGGCAGACCCTACCTAAGGACTAAGTATAGAAACCCACTGAGTCTTTATACTGACCCTATAAAGTGCATATTATCATGATCCCAGAGATGCTGAGGAGGCAGCTGAGGTTCAAACGGGTGGTGGGGCCAGAATGCTCCCCATGCCCACATTATCCTGTGCAAGTGTGACCCACTTTTCCTCCCTCCCCTGTGCTTACAGGAAAGCGCATCTGCCTTGGTGAGGCCTTGGCCCGCATGGAACTCTTTCTCTACTTCACCTCCATCCTTCAGAACTTCTCCCTACGCTCACTGGTGCCGCCTGCTGACATTGACATCACGCCCAAGGTCTCGGGCTTTGGCAACATCCCACCAACCTATGAGCTCTGCTTCATGGTCCGCTGAGAGCCCCCTACTGAAAGCAGAAAGGACCATCAGACAACAGAGCCCTGTTCTGTTCCCACCCTCCTCATCTCCCTAAATTCTCACAACAGCCCTAAGAAAAGACACTATTACTACTGTCATGGGACCACAGGTCAGCAGGAGTCACCTGAAAATATAGAGTTGCATCTTCTATATCCAATGGAAAACAACACCCTGTTCAAGATTTCAGCAACAATCTGGAGGATTTACTCTCATCCTCCAGATCACGGATCACCTCCACCTGAGCTTTCTGCCTCCACCAAATTCTTGCTGTAGATTCCATGTCTTTATGTTATTCCTTTGTCTTTGCCCTGATAATGACCAAAATGTGAGTCACAATCCTTTCTCCTTGATTCTCATATTCACCACTCCCAAAAAGGCAACAAAGAACTCAAAACTGCCCACTGTAGCAAGTTTATTGGGTATTGTGTGTGACGTCAATAGGGCACTGCAAACAACGTAAAATGGCCTTTTTGACTTCCTTGTTATTAGCTATCATTTCTGCCAGCTCACCACCAAAGATTTCCCACTTGGTGGGCCATCCTTGTAATACCCCAGCCTCAACCTTCTTGCTGGCTCATTACCTCTCCCTCCCCCATCATCTCACTTGCTAAACATGGTTTTCTAGTTGTTCTTGTCTCAATTTCCAGTTCCAAATACTCCCCCATCCATTTTGAAGAATAGTTAAATCACCCACGGCTCTATTATTCCATTTCTAAACTCCGTCAACTTGCTCAGTTGATGAAAACCATCCTTCATTTTTCATTTTATTCAACCAATATTTATTGAATACCCAATATGTGCCAGCACAATCTCTAGGTACTTGGAATCCATCAATGAACAAAAGAGACAAAACTCTTGCCGTTGTGGAGCTTAAATTCTAGTGGGGGAGGTAGACAATTAAGAATAAACATCATAAATAAGTAAACAGAATATAGGAACAGCAAAGTAGGTAAATGGGATAGGGAATTCTAGGATTGGAATTTTAAATTGGGGGTCATGGGTGGTTTCACAAGGTAGTGAGGAGCAAGCTGTGCAGATATCTGGGAAGGGAGTGTTCTTGGCAGAACAATTGAAAACAGCAGAGTTGGGCCTGCCCCGTGGTCAAATGGTTAAGTCCATGCGCTCCTCTTCAGCAGCCCAGGGTTTCGCTGGTTCGGATCCTGGGTGCAGACATGGCACCGCTCATCAAGCCATGCTGAGGTGGCATCCTACATGCCACAACTAGAGGGACTCACAACTAAAAATACACAACTATGTATCAGGGGGCTTTTGGGAGAAAACGGAAAAATAAAATCTTAAAAAAAAGAAAAGCAAAGTCATAAGACAGAAGACCACCTGTGTTTTCATGAATCCACAGGGAGACATGTGTGGCTGTAGTGGAGGAGGGAGGGAGAGTGTAGGATTAGGTGAGATGAGGGAACAGAGTTAAAAGGTCAGACTGTATGGGGCCTTGTGCACCTCAATGAGGAGTTGAGTGAGATGGAGGTCTTTGGGGGCTGGTGATCATAGGATGACATATATTGACATGTTTAAAAGGCTCGCTTTAGCTGTTGTATGGTGAGTAGACTGAGGGAGAGGGCATGAACAAAAGCAAAGACCAATTAGGAGGCTACTGCAAGCGGTGATGTTGGCTCAGACACAGCAGAACCAGTCAAGGTGGGGAAAAGTTGGTGATTTGGGAATCTATTGTGATGTCTGAAGTTGCAGGATTTGCTAATGTACTGGACATCAGGTGTGAGAGGAAGAGAAGGTTCAGGGGTCACTCCAGGGATAACAGCTCATCCTTTACCATTTCTAGTCTAGCCACACCCCTACCCCAGAGACCTTCAGGTCCAGTAACACTTCAGGGTTGCTATTTTTAATCAACATAAGATGAATTTGGCCACTTTAAGGAGTAAAGCCTGTTGGCTACAGATGGGCAACTGGTTAGCTCACAAAATCAATGGGAATTCTGGAAAACCAGACAAAGGATATGAGTAGGAAAAAAAAGAGACTGTGCCAGGAGAACACCAGCTAAGATAATGGCCAGAACCATCCAGCTAGGGGCTGCTACTGCCACTGCCACCCCACCTATTCCTAGGCACTGAATACCACTGCCATGGGACTCCTGACTCTTTGCTGCCACTGTGGACAACTTCCTAATTGTGTCTGTGCTTTTGTGTCACTTCCTTAGACAAGAATCAAAGTTCCAGGCAGGATGATCCAATTAACCAAGCCATTGTCACAGTTAAAGCCTTAGGGCTCAGGGTGTTGGGAGGAAGAATCAACGGCTCCTTCAGCTTTTGTGGTGGGAGGCAAAGACTTTCTCATGATGAAGAGATACAATAGGGAATTTTCCAAAATTGTAAGAGAGTTTTGAGACTGGGTATGTAATGCATAACAAATGCCATGATGCACATTATGTGAATTGGGTCCTCTGAGAAGCAGAAGCTTAGACGGAGTTAAGAGTGCATGATTTTATTGCAGAGCAATGTGTGTGAAATACAAAAGATGGAGAAGTACAAGAAGAATGGTTCAGGAAAAGTCTTCAGACTAGGATGCAGATCTGACACCATATCCATGAAAGGAAAGAAGGGAGGAAGCAGAATTAGGCAAGGAGCAACTCAGACCATAATGCAAGAGATAAGAGACCTGAAATCCATCCAATGGGTATCTCTGAAGTGAAGATTGCTGTTAGAGATGTCTCATGTTGGGCAAGAAATGATCATGCCTTGAGGCCCAGCTCCATGGCTGAGTGGTTAAAGTTCAGTGTACTCCACGACAGTGGCCTGGGTTCACAGGTTTGGATGCCAGGCGTGGACCTACTCCACTTGTCAGCCATGCTGTGGAGGCATCCCAAATACAAAGTAGAGAAAGACTGCCACAGATCTGAGTTCAAGGCAGACATTCCTCACACAAAAGAAGAAAGAAATGGTCATGCTTGTACCCCAGGTGTCCTCCGTCACTGGCTGAAGATTTCTTGGGGGAGCCTGAACTCTGCTCCAGGCTGAAGTGGATACTCAAGGTGCTGCTGCTGGAGGCTGTCAGTTCACTGCACTCCTTGAAGCTGAATAGCAAGTTCTTTCTTGAAGGGAGACCTGAGTGGCGCTTCTCCATGCCTGCCAGAGGCACAAACATACAAGCACTCATCATTAAAGACTTGGTACTCCTTCCATAAACATAGCATTACAAACAGTTACAAATACTCTTAAAGCATACAGTCCAATGGTCATCAAACGTTTCTTAGCTGTGAAAAACCTTTCTCAAATTATCTTAAGTACAGATCTAATACTTGAAGCAGGAGAGAGAATTGCTGAACTTTTCTCTCTGGGTAAAGCACTGAAGAGATCTACACCTTCAAAAGAGCCTTCATTTTCATCGATGAGGACAGCCCATTAGAAATTCCTAGAAATTCTGAGGGCTATAAGGTACTGTAATCATTCAACACAGGTCCCTGTTCCAAGTGGGGCCCTGTGAAGGACCTGATGACATAACGGTGGCCAGGATAGATTCATTTACTGACTACTTGGGACTAACAGTACAGCAAAGAAGATTGACTCATCTCTGGGCATTGACAGCCCAGAGTGATCAGGGCTCTGATGGAAACACAGGACATAGTGTCAAAAGATATGATGGAATAAGAGAGACTCAAGTGGTTTGGGGTGACAGCAGGTAGTAGGAGACAGGCTTGAAGGAGTTGATATCCCTTTTATTTCCTGAAAATAATTTGTTTTATTGGAGTAAATTCTTCTCAGAAATTAGGTGAGTCAGTCATCTTTATACTGTCACTAGTAGGAAGAACCAATCAGGATATAGGAGTCAGACAGGCCATTTTCTTTGCAGTGGATTTTTTTTTCTTTAAAAAAGTTTAAAGTATACAGTTAAGTGGCTTTTGGTATATTCATAGATAGGTGATGCAAGTATCACCATAGTCAACTTTAGAACATTTTCATCACCACAAAAATAAACCTCATACCTTTTAGGTATCTCTCCCCTGCCCTGTCACCCTACTCCCACTCTAAGCAATAACTAATCTATTTTCTGTCTCTATATATTCTCTATTTTTGACTTCCATATTATTGGAATCATATAATATATGGTCTTCATGTCTAGCTTATTTCATCTAGCATAATGTTTTTAAGGTTCATGCTATCATTCCTTTTTATGGCTGAATAAAATTCCATTGTATGGATATACCGCATTTTGTTTACCCATATATCTGTTGATGGATGTATTAGCTTCCTAGGGCTGTTACCTTCCTAGATACCATAACAAAGCATCACAAACTAGGTGGCTTAAAAACAATGGAAGCTTCAGCCATGGCACGCGACTCAGCTCAGTGAAGTTCAAGATGCTGATGAACTTAAGGGCTGGTGCTTGAAAGGCAGAATTGGGGTGCTTGAAAGAAGCTTTTCAAGTAGGTAAGGTGTAGATGACCATGTGACAAGTGATATATACTTATTGGAGGTTTTGGCTTTCTCTGTCCTTTTCATGTTGGTAGCAGGAGTGAATTTTGAGAAGGTGGCAAATATCTGTAGGAACGCATATCTAAGAAGTTTGTACTGCAGCCCCATAGAGAATTTCCACAGAATTCAACAGCCTTATTTAGAGCAGCTCTTCTACCGACCAATCCAGGTTTGAAACTTGACACAATAATTAGACCAGCTGTTCTATAACTATCTTAAAACAACTTTGTCAACCGTGCTTTAAATTACAAAGGTTATTTTGAAATCCCATTCTTTGGATTATTCTAAAGATTATGCGTTCTTTTGTGGTGTACTCTTATTTAAATATTGCTGTTGTGGCATATATATGGTGATGGTGGACTTAATTCTGTCTAAGATTTATCTCTGCACTGAGCAAAAGACCTTGCATTTCTGTAGTAAAATGTGAAGGTACTTTCATTTTGTTGGTGACTAAAGAAACTTTTGAAAGGTATTTTTTTTTTTATTAATGTTATGATAGATTACAACCTTGTGAGATTTCAGTTGTACATTTTTGTTAGTCATGTTGTGGGTACACCACTTCCCCCTCTGTGCCCTCCCCCCACCCCCCTTTTCCCTGGTAATCACCGATCAGATCTCCTTATCAATATACTAAATTCCACCTATGAGTGGAGTCATATAGAGTTCGTCTTTGTCTGACTGGCTTATTTCGCTTAACATAATACCCTCGAGGTCCATCCACGTTGTTGTGAATGGGCCAATTTCGTCTTTTTTTATGGCTGAGTAGTATTCCATTGTGTATATATACCACATCTTCTTTATTCAATCATCAGTTTCTGGGCATGTAGGCTGGTTCCACGTCTTGGCTATTGTAAATAATGCTGCGATGAACATAGGGGTGCAACGGACTCTTGAGATTTCTGATATCAGGTTCTTAGGATAGATACCCAGTAATGGGATGGCTGGGTCATAGGGTATTTCTATTTTTAACTTTTTGAGAAATCTCCATACTGTTTTCCATAGTGGTTGTACCAGTTTGCATTCCCACCAACAGTGTATGAGGGTTCCTTTTTCTCCACAACCTCTCCAACATTTGTCACTCTTGGTTTTGGATGTTTTTGCTGATCTAACGGGTGTGAGGTGATATCTTAGTGTAGTTTTGAT